AACTTTTTGCTGTGTTTCTCGAGGTATTTCTTTCTCATGCATTTTCTGAGGTTCTTGCCAGACAAATAACACAGCTGAAGTCCACAAATCAATGCACAGAATGATTATTTGCTGATGGTAATTGCTGGGGGAAGTGAGGAGGAGGTGGCTTGTTGATGTTGCTGCTGTATCCAAGGAGCGATGAGCGCAGTGATGGCTTGGAGCACAGCATCTGCTGCCAAAGGAGCGTGTTGGAGTAAGGTGTTAGGTCCTGTGTGTGCATCTGTGCTCTGCTAGATGAGCCTCACAGCGTGCACAGACTGCTTAGGTGTGTGCCAAACCACGCTGTGGATTTTTCTGCTAATAGCATGGCTAAGCTTTTGCGTGGGGAAAGCTTCATCCTTTTGGCTACTGGCACGGGCAGAAGTGCTATGGCTCCAGAGTGGGCAGCCTGGGTCTGTATTTGTGTTGGCCAATATCTGTGTGCAGAGGGTTGTTTCAACCCAGCTGTCACCGTGACTGGGGATGGAGTGCCAAGCAGCTCGTAACTTTGGAAAGTGGGGCTTTGGTCTTGAAGGATGCTGAGCAGGGCTTTGGGTGTCAGGTTTATATTTTCTTACAGTTAACGAAGATTAATTACAGTGGAAACCAAGCAATTTCCGTTTGGGTTTAATCAGGTATTCTTTATAAGATTATAATTATTATAATCTTGTGTCCTTTGATCTAACAGTCCCGAAAAGCTGGCTAATGCAAATCATTGAACAGATTACAGGCCAGAGCTGTTAATTGAGTGCTTGAAAGACTTGCATATGGCTCCTATTTGGGGAAGTAGCAGAAGTGCAAATAGGATCTGTTCTTGCTGCTCTCCAGTTAGCTGATCACAAGCTTTCCTGCAGTCTTGGGCCAAGTGGCTTTCCTGAGAAGAGCAGTCCAGGATGGGAGCTGTGTCTGGGGCTCTCAGCAAGGAAAGCATGCGGTGTCTTGGCTGCTTGAAAGATGGGTGATGGCATGAAATGTCCTTTCCTTAGTCCTGAACTGGAAGGAAAAGAAAGAAATGGAATGGAGAAGTCTTCTACAGAGCCATTGAAAAGAAGTATCCAAACTATGCCGAGATGCTAAGGGACGTGGTGTAGTGGAGAAGTATTGGTGGTAGATGAAGGTTGGACTGGATGGTCTTGGAGGTCTTTTCCAACCTTGGTAATTCTATGAAAATATGTACTCTGTTCTGCGTGAGAAAGCAAAATGGGCTGCAGCTGAAAGTCTTGCTGGGTGTTTCAGGATGCTTGTTAAATCTTGTTTCCTAGGTTTTAGTTTTGATTCTTGTAGTGCAGGAGAAAGGAATAAAAATGTGAATATATGTCCCGGTTTTCAAATAGAAACTACTCCCTTTCAGGGGGGCAACAGACACATTTCTTTTAGTTTTGATTCTTGTTTGCTTTAAAAACCAGTCGTTTTTACAGCGTGTCCAATGAAGCTTCCCAACTCCAACAAATGTTGACAGAACCATAAAGCAGCGTGTGAAATGGAGGCTTGGTTTAACTACAGCTTGTAAAAAGCCTTCCCTACAGCACAGCAGTGATATTCCAGCTCTGTGAAGCAATCCCAAAATCTCTTCTGCAGCCCTGCATATGTGCATACATTCTGGGAAGTGTTATCCCTGAAGATTCCGATGCTGAACCTGCAAGAAAATGGGCATGGATGGGATTGAGCTGCAGGGCTGTTGGAATAGCATTTTGAGTGGTACCTGCTGCTTGGAATGGTGCAGGGGACCTTGTGGCATTGCACAGTAAAGCAGATACGGACAAACTCCTGTTTGGTTCTTCACTGAAGATTCATGGGGGTTTTGATCATGCCTCCTCCTGCTTCAATCCAGGGCAGAGGAATGAATTGCTGAGCTCCCTGCTCCTTGGCTGTCATGTTCTGCTTTCCATCTGTCTGCTTTTTTTTTTCTTCTTTTTTTTGCTTCAGTTCAGCCTCGCATGCCTAACTGGGCAGTGATGTATGCAGTGGATACATAACCTGTGATTATATAGACACCAGCAGCTATTCTTAATGAGGTTTCCTTGCTGTTAGGGTGCGTGCTGGTTCACTGATGACTCAATCCGAGTTCCTAATGCCCGTTTTTGTGCTCTCTGAGGAATGCTCAGGGCAGTTTTTAGTGATGACTGACAGCAGCTAGATATCCTCAGTCCACGGGCTGAGCAAACTGCAGTTCAGTTCGTTGGTTAGGACAGTCAGCACTTGGAATCTGGAGCAGCAGTCCTGCTCTGTCCCTGTTCAGGGCTTTGATGCAAGCTGACACCCTGTGCTGGACCTTCTGCTCAGATTTTGGCCTCGTGGGAAGGCTGCTCTGCCAGGGAAACTGTAATGCCCCAATGGCTGGGACTGCATGAGGGGAAATCTGTTCTAAGTGTTCTAAGTGTTGTAACTGCGCCCTTGTCACCAGAGCTCTGCTTGGGATTTTAGCTCTTCATTCATGAGCTTTAACACTTCATTTAACCGTTCCCCTCAGCAAGCCGTGCTACCATTGCCAGGCTGCCTCTCCTCGATAACCTTGCCAACAATTTTCCCTTAGCTTCAGCTCCATTTCTCTTGTCTGCTGCCCCTGATGTATGACTGTTTTCTTAATGTGTGCACCTTTCACATGTTAGGAGCTGGAGGAGGCCCTGATGGATGATGCAGTAAGTCAGGACAGGGCTGGGGTTGCCTTGTGTTTGTCCAGGGGAGGTTAAGTAGGAAACAAGCTCAGTCAGAATTGATCTGTATTCTGGCTGTTTTCCTTCCTGGAGTAAAAGCTTTTCAGGGAATGTGTTGCTTTCAGCTCTGGCACGTGAATAGAGCAATGAGGCTAAAAACATAATTTAGCCTAGGGAAGACTTCTTTTGCATGGAGTTGATGCAATTTGTCTTTTGTCCTGCGTTCTTCCTGCCCACAATCCTAGTTGGGAAAGCATTTGATGTAATAAAATGGGAAATGCGGTGAGAGCTCAGACAGCTCCTGTGTAGGGCAGGGCAAATCCTGCTGGGCACATGGAGCTGCACTGGGCTGCGAGTCTGCCAGAAACTGGGATTGATTCCTGCTTCTTTCTGACTGTGGGTGCTGTGTGAGTGCAGGGAGGGTGGGATTGCAGTTTCCTAGCAGGGAGGTATTTCAAGGACACAAGGAGCTGGCTCCTGTCACTGCTTGCTTGATTTGTTAGGGAAAGATAGTAACTTGCTTTAGATTTACTGCGACTAGAGAAGTTTGCTCTGTGCAGATTTAACTTCATTCTCTGCGTTGGATCCCTAAATAATAGATATGAAAGGTTTATTAAACAAATAAGTAAAACTCACTGGGGTGTGAATGCCTAAAGCCCATCGCCTGCCAGGCAGAGCCAGTCAGGTACTGCGGATCAGAGGAAAACAGATGATTGTTTTGTTTACAGCCTTTCGCATCAGGATGAAAGGGAAAAAAAAGTATATTAACAGCATCTCTGAGGGGAAGATGATTATTGAAATAAATGCCTCTGCCTTGCCAGCGAGGCAATTTTATTTATTTGTTTTTTCATGTTTAGGTGCTTTTTCTCTGCTGTTGCAGTTGCAGCACGGCAGGCAGGTAGAAATGCCAGCCCTTTAATTCAGAAGGACTTCTCCTGAAGGCTGCCTTGGATAGGATATCTTATTTGTAGTTAAGTGAATCACTGTGTTTTTAATATTATGATGTTCTACATAATGCATATTGAGTTCTTCTGGGGGAATTAACCTGGCATGAGACTGGGGAGTAGATATGCCAGGATGCATCTGTTCAGAAATCCTGCCTGGTGTTTTTCTTTGGATAGCTAATGAATCTGTGCTGACATAGTGCCCTTCCTTTGTAAATGGATGGCTGTGCCTAATTCTGGATTAAATGATGTGGGAGAAGCTCTTTGTTTAAGAGTTAATAGCTGAGGATTTTATCTCCTTCCTCCCTTATGCACGAGGCTTTTCCAGCCATATTAATATTTTACCAGTGAAGCATCTTGGGGTTGTTGAGTCTGGAAAAAAGGTGACTAAGAGAAGACCTCATTGCTCTCTGTAGTTGCCTGAAAGGAGGCTGCAGGGTTGATCTGTTGGGTCTGCAAGTGAGAGTGGGAGGGGGCAGGCTGGAGCTGCAGCAGGAAAGCTTACAGTGGGCATTAGGAAGAGTTTCCTCATGGACAGGGTGGTCCATGGGATCCCCATCCCTGGGTTTAAGGGACGTGTGGCTGTGATGCTGGGGGATGTGGGTCAGTGATGGGGCTGGGGTACTTGCCTCTGTGCAAAGAGCGCCGGTGGGGAAGCGAGGAGCACTGCTTTCATTAGTGATGCTAAGGTGGGTGAACTCAAGCTGGAAGCACGGGAGCGTTTGCATGAACTTCTTGATGACTTTGGCACAAAAGAGACTTGGATGTTGAATAGCTTGTTTTGCAGAAACAGAATGTCCTCTGTTGGTCTGTGTTGTTTATCCATAACTTCTCTAACGCTTCAAAAGAAAAAAAAAAAAGCCATAAAGAATTGACAGATTACAAGTTGCATGAAATATCAAAGTAATTATTTCCACTTTCATGCTTCTTTGTGCAGACATAAAGCAATAAATACCCATAGTGTCTCAGAAGTGACACTTACATAGTGGCAGATTCACGCTTTTCTTACGTGCTGGGATTTGTTTGTTTCTCCTTTAACTTATGCTAATACATGGTATTCCTGTATTTGTGTTGTTTTCTTTCTTTTAAGTAAACTCCAGGAGTTTAAGCATGTTTATAAAGGTGCACCTGTTGGAAGCCAGATGTGTGGGATGCAGCAGCTCACTGTGTGGAGTTGACTGCTCAGGGGGAGCAGCCTTTTCTTGCAGGGTCTTTGGTGATTATCAGATGTTGATGGTGCTCTTGGCTGTCCTTTGGGGTGACTGGTAGAGAGCACAGCTCCTAGGGCAGTCTAAATCACTGTAGTGATGTCTGTCTTCCCTGATCTGTCCCAGAAATAATATGAGATTGAATTTAAGTGTCTGTTACTGTCTTCAAACAGAGAGAACGTGAGCTGGAGGATGGAGATGCTGGAATGAGCTTGCTTGGAGAGACCTCTGGGAGGAAGGAGGCGGGTGAAAGGAGAGAAATGATAACTGCAGCCCTGAGGGATGCTCTCACAAAACAAGGTGAGGTTCTGTGAGCCTGAGTGCTGGACCAGGCTTGGTGATGGAATTCTAACAGAGCAAGTGAGACTGCTTCTGTTGGAGGAAGCTGCTGATGGAACTGCCAGTCCTGCCCCTGGTTAGAGCCTACCAGCACAGCTTAGACTAGGGCTGTCTGCTTCGTTGTTCTGGGAGGGAATCTAAAGCTATGCAGTGCATCTCAGCATGAAGCACGCTAACGTGTTGAGATCACCTGGTGCAATACTTCTGCTGTCAGCTTGAGGGAGAAGATAAACCTGCATGTCTCTGTCTTCCTTAGGGTAGGCTTGGTAGAGAATCACCTTTGTTTCCGTCTTGCATTTAGTCATCTACTTTTATCTAAACTTCAAACTTCTGGTACTAAAACTTCTCAGAAAAGAGAATCTGTCAAACCAGCAGTCTGCTCAGTGGTTCAATCAATGAGCTGCAGAGAGCAGCGTTGATGAACTGGTGCATTTTTCTGAAACTTAATGGCAAGCACGAGAGGAGCAGGCTGAGGGTTTTGAACTGCAGGGCTGTCAGCTGTGAGTAAAGTTGGGAGAAGGGCAGGGGAAGGTGATGTGAGCACCCCTGTGCTGCAGCTGGGGGGGATCACAGTGTGTTCTCCCCAGGATTTCAGTTGTTCTTCAGCCTGAGCATCTGTATGTGACTAGTGTTGTTCTGCCCATCAAGTGTCTGGCATATTTGCTCACTTTCTATTTTCATAAACTTTAAATAAAAAGCTGTTCTTTAAATCTGCAGGCTGAATGACCGAACCCAGCAAAAGCCTCTTTAAAATGGAGCTCAGCACAGGGTGGCAGTAACTTTGCCTCATCTTCTTGTCCATAGCTGCATCACTGCTGGTCAGGGCCAGTGCAGGGCTGCAGGAGCCAAAGGCTGTGTTGTATTGGCAGGTGCACTGTGCTCCCTCAGCTCCTGTATCAGGACAGAAGAGCCCTGAGGGGGGGAGATGAGGAGGTGCTGTGGCACTGATCTGTTGGGTGTGGGTGCACCCTGCCCAGTGCTCTTCTTGGGGTGCAGTGCTCAGTTGGCTCTTTGTTATTCAGGGGGTGTCACAGGAGTGCTTGATGCTCTGCCTTGCTCTGATCCAGGCATCATGGGTTCGGTTTTGGGGGGTGGATGAAATGTTGGTGTTTTAGTGCTGTACAAAAGTGGTTGTTGTAAAAAAAAAAAAAAAAAATAAAAATAAAAATAGTGCTGGAGGGAAGGTTGCATTCCTGCTGTAACTTTCTGACACGAAGGCAGTTTCTCCAGGTTACTCAGATCTCTGATATTCCGTGCGCAGAAATTCATTGATCACATGAATTCTATTTTGTAAGTATATATTTCTGCCTACCTTTGGCATCCAGGGTGGTGCCAGCAGTGGTTGTGCTGCATGAGGGTCCACTTACCTAAATCTGCAGTTTAAAAGACTTGAAGACTATTGTGTGTAATTTCAGCTGCTACCACCTTTGTGAACGCATCCCTCCTTTCCTTTCTTCTGCTCCTCGCATCATTCCTTAGCAGTTGCTGAGCAGTGAAGAAAACAATCTGCTTTTCTTCTCTTTTCATGTCATAGCTGGTTTTTTTGCAGGTAAAACACTCCAGGGCAGTCTTATGAAGCTGTAAAAAATAAAATGAAACTCGCTTCTTCCCTCAGCACCGTCCCTTGAAAATAACAAGTGTGATACAGTCAGATCACCTAATTTATGAATCAACTGGCTGCTTTGGGTACAGGTTCAGTTTCTGTTCAGCATTATCCCTAAGGGCATAATTAGTCCAGGAGAAAGCAAAACCAGTGGTGGTGATTCACAAGAAAGCTGTTTTTCTGAGCTGTGGTTGTGTAACAGGAGTTTGCCTTTGAGCAGCATCTCTTCAGCCCCCCGCAACACTTCTTAATCACCTTCAGACAAACTTAGCATGCTGCCTTGTAGGTAAACTGAATATTGCTTAAACAATAGTTTCATTTCAGCTGGAATTCAGAGGCAGCGCTGGATATAACCTGAAGTGTTGGATGGTGCAGCTGGAGGCCCTTATGGCTGGCTGCCTGCAAATACCTTCATAAAGGTCCTCTGTAACAGCTGCTGCTTTGAAAGTCATAGCCAGTCTTGTGCTGTGAGAAGATGCTGATTTCCTCCCCATCACTGTTCAGTCTTGCATAAAATACAAATACGGCACGAGCCACTTAATACCCACAGTAACAAGTATAGCTGGAGAGAGGCTGGCAGTGTGCTCCTGCTGCTTCATCTGTTTAGGTAAATGTCATGAAATGAACTGAAAATAGAAGCAAACCTTTCAGGCAAGTGTTTCCTGTGGTGATTAGTAGGCGCAGCCTAACTGATGTTCTCATTTGCTTTCTGCAGTGGCTTGTAGGTTTGTGAAACAATCCTAGCCGGGCTGAAATCTGTATTTTTCTTCTTAATCTGCTCACACTCAGCAGGTCCTTGCTTCTTTCTTTTCTAAATACTTGTAGTTTTGTGGTAGGCACTAATGCAACAGGATTGGATTAATATTTCCCAAAAGCTGACCCCACTGGCATTGAAGAAATCATTCTGCTTCCCCAAGCTGCAGTTGGGTTGCTGTCTTTACTGCTTAAGTGTGCCTTGAATTTAGCACCACGGTGTCCATAATATCTCAGTTTTGCTTGTATCCGAAGGCAAGTGCTGTTAGGAACAGCTTGTATCTGAAGTAGATTGGACTACTTCAGTAACCACTTCTGTCACGCTTTGACTTGCTGTTTGATGCAAAGATAAGCTTTTATCTGTGTTTTTCAGCATGTTTTGAAAATCAGGAGCTGACTTCAGAAGAAACTTGAGGGCTGGGCTTTTCAAGTGCTTATTGACCTTGCTTGAGATCAGCTTTCAAAGTAGTTGGTTGATGGCTTTTGCTGCCCCTTACTGATTATTTTTTTCCTCATTGCCTCAGCTTGGTTGGCTGTGCTGAGCTCCGCATCCTGGCGTTGGAAGTGAGATCTGCTGCAGAGACATTGCCCAGAGATCGGTGTTGCTGGGGTTTGTTTTGCAGGCTGTGCACTGAGATGTTGGCAGGCAGTGCTGGGATTCAGTGTCGTTTACATGGAGCTCTGATACTGCAGGTGGCACTAGCAGCTCACAGCTGGGTCAGGGATGGGTATCGCTGGTGCAATCCCTGAAAGGAACCAGAGACTTCAATTGCTACCCATGGGAAGATTTAAACATCAGTTTGCAAAATACAACATTCTTCTTTTGTGAATAGCTGTGATCAGGGTAAATGTAATGCCTGAAACCAGGCAAAGTTAAGCCTGCTAAATTTTCTTGTATTTCCTTAAAGTCCCTGTAAATAAATGGAGAATGCGTGGTGGAGGAAGAATCCAGGAGCCAGAGGATGCTGAAGTCCCACAGTGTGGAAGCTGGCGAGAGCTTGGTGATGAGCTGATTGCAGTGCTAATTGCAGTGCTGGTGCACTTAGCAGCGGCAGGATAGACAAAGCTCAGCCTTTATCAGTGGCCCTGATTCTTCCTGTGTGTGTGATCACGGGAGTTGGAGTTACCCAGGTATACTAGAGAAGTGTGAGTGTAAGTTAACTCGTGTTTGAAGTGCACTGATCTTACCTAACATTTGGAGAGTATTGGTCTTTGAAATTAAATCCATTACGATGGAAGGAGGTAAGGCTATATTCAAGTAAGCTTGAGATCCTGGTGCTGCAGCTGCTGCCCTGGCCCACCAGGGAGTTGAGGTTGTTGGCTGAGGCAGTGTAGGACACATGGCTGGTTCTTCTTTGAGATGCCCTGTTGAGGAATCCCATCATATTGTGTCTTGCTTTGCTTGCTTTCCAGCCAGGAAAAGGATTTTCCTCCTCGTGTAGCTTGTCTTCCCAGCATCCTGGAGATGAAGGGATCTTTTGCTGTTCAGGACTTTGGATGAGCTTTGTCTTGCAGGTCTTTATCTGCGCAGCATCTGAGAGCAGTTGGAAGGGGGCTTGTGGCTGTAGCTGGCTTGTTCTTTTTCTTCTGGCTGTTTTAGTGGGTGGAGGTGGATGTTTGCCAAGCTACAAAGGCCCCCTTTGGGATAGGAGACAGCTGCTCTTTGCTTGGAGTAGCAAAGCCAGTGTGGAAGTTAATGAAACTATCCAGGCAAGGAATGGGCATCTCATTTCTCCATCTTCTCTTGGGTGAGAGGAGGTCCCAGGAGCTTGCATTTTTGTTGGGGTTTGATTAAAATGGAATGAGCTGCCATGCCTTTATGCCCATGGTGTTCTTTTCTAAGGTGTGCCCTGCTGGGGCTGCTTCTGCTGGAGGACATCAACATGAGTCATTTGTGGCAAATGTTTTCCAACAGCTCTGCCAGTAGTCTGCCTTACCATTCCTTGTCAAAGGTGTCAGGTGCTGGCAGCTTTTTGTTTTTGCTCAGTACTAGCTGCTGCGGGTGAAAATACTAATGGTCCCAGTGGTCATAAAAATCATAATTTGATCAGAAATAATGCGTTTAAGCATTGGAAGCTTTGGCAGTTCTGTAGTGAAATGTGCTCTTGGGTTACAATGGACATCCCAGTTGAAGTGAGAAGTGTTTGCTGGCTCTCAGCTGTTGGTGCTGGACTCACAGAGCTGCTGGCGTTGCCGTCCTTGGGCTTTGCTGGTCCCACTTTCATGACAGCAGGTCAGGTTTGTTTGCCTACCATGGCAGCAGTAATTCTTCCAGCAACTTCAGCAGCCTTTTGTTGCAAGTTAAATAAATAAATAAATAAATCAACATGTTCTTTGTACTCCTCCACATCCTTCTCATCGTACGTGACACTTCAGCAGCTCCACTGATAGAAGTGGACAAAGTTTGGTGTGAAATGTAGTGTTTCTGTGTATGTAAGGTACAGCCCTGCAATCCTTTCTCACCAGCTTGGAGAAGGAAAGAGAACTTGCAGGCAAAACCTTCCTGCAGCTCCCAAGCCTGTGGTACTTTTTAAGAGCAGTTTCTTCCATTTCAAAGGAGGTTTTTAAACCAGCACCAACAAAAGCCTGCAGAGTTGATCCTGGGACAGAAAACAGGAGGTCTTTCCAGCCATGCTTGGACCATCAGAGAAATTCTACTTCCCAGATCCCACTTCTATTTCAGCATAAAATGCTGATGAAATGTGAGCAGGTTCTTTTCACAAACCACACTCGTGTTTTTCTTGCTCGTTCTCCAGCTTTAATCAGATCACTGCCTGCAGTGGTGGCCCAAGTGCAGCAGCTGTGGGAGAGCTTTTGGGGCAGTCCCTCGAGTGGAGCTGATGGATTGCTGCTGTGTTGCTGACCTGTTAACCAGCTCTTGTGCAAAACAACACAGAAGTGGGAATTTTTTTCCTGTAAGCATTGCCCTGGTTTGGAGTTCCCTTTTCTTCACTGTTTCACAGCTTTAACAGATAACACAGCTTCCAACAGACTTACTGAAGGAGATGGCTTGATAGATCTGTGCTGGTTTGTCAGTACTGTGCAGTACTTGTTTCTCAGAAGCAAGCTTTGTGAAAGTCATTTGGGTTTTTGAAGCATAATATGACATCAGATTGGCTTTTAGCAGGCGTGCAGTGGCTGTGTTCTCAGAGGAGCGTGGCAAAGGCTTTGCACCTCCAGGGGATTTTTCAGCCAGTCATCTGCTTCATTCTTTCATAATTAAATCTTCTGCTCTGTGCTTTCAAAGGCTTCAGCTGAAGGAAGCTTTTAGTGTAGGGGGCTGTTCTGAAAGGTAAGGTGCCTTTGGTTTTCCACTGGACACTGATGTGTCAGGATAGCTGTTAGGGCTGTTTATGAGGGTGGGTAGTGATAGGACAAGGGGGATTGGTTTAAACTGAGACGGGGAGGTTTAGGTTGGATATGAGGAGGAAGTTTTTCACCCAGAGGGTGGTGAGGCACTGGAACAGGCTGCCCAAGGAGGCTGTGGATGCCCCATCCCTGCAGGCATTCAGGGCCAGGCTGGATGTGGCTCTGGGCAGCCTGGGCTGCTGGTTGGTGACCTGCACACAGCAGGGGGTTGGAACTGGATGAGCACTGTGCTCCTCTTCAACCCAGGCCATTCTAGGGTTCTGTGACAGCCAGGGGAGTCTCAAGTTGTGTAGTGTGACCATTGCAGGTGCACTTTTTCAGACAGTGGATTGGATTTTGGAGAATGAACCTTTCCAACTGTTTACATGATGGAGTTGAAGTTGCATTATGATCCTAAACAGCTGCAGACGTGTTTTACGCTAATGATGGAGCATTCACCATCTGCGACAGTGGCCATCTCAGCTGAAAGTCTGCCTGTGGTCTATTAAACTTGGGTTGGATTCTCAGGTCAAGCAGTCACCAAATGTTTATTGGCCTTGTTATTGCCTGATGAAACTAATTTCACCCAAAAGCTTGTTTAAAAACTTAATTCAAATTTTTGTGATAGTGACACTGAATTTCAGTGAAGCTTGGTGAGTGTCTTGGCCAATTCAGCATTTATTATCTAGTTTGGGATCAGCTAAAATAGACTTATGATCTGGGATTCTTGTGCCTTTAGTCACGAGTAGAGTTTACAGGTTAAGTAATAATGAGCGTTTTGAATATGAGAGATGCTGTAGAGCCTTAGGATTTGAATATGCACAGATTGAGAAAACACATTGTGTTGTTTGGAAGGTGTTGCATCCAAGTATTCACTTGTTTGTTATTGCTTACAAGTAATACTTCTTGGGTTTGCTCTTAAGCAGTAGATGGTGTTCTGTGAGCCCTGGAAACAGAGTGAGAAGACTCTGCCTGGTTCTCTGTCTTGCTTTCTCCCATGGCTGATTTGAAACTCAGCACTTTTGGTTCCCACATAACCCTTTCCATTTTTCTTAGAGCTCTTCAAGCTGCTTTGCTGCCTGTGTTACGAGCCATTAGTTAAATACTTCAAGAAATGGGCTCATCAAATCAAAGGAACTTTGCTCACCTGCAGTAGATGTGCAGAGAGTCAGGCTTTGTCACTGATACTTGATCTGAATGTTCATGTGCAGCTTGCTGTAGTGCTTAGCAGGGTAACCATGCTCCCACCAATGCTCCCTGTGCAATGAAGAACTGAGTTCAGGCACTTCATATAGTACTCATAAGAAGTTCTGCAAATGTGTGGCTTCTTCCAGTAACCACAGCTGTGACTCCTGGCAGCAGCACATAGGGTGAGTAAACTTCTTTGTATTGCTGAAGCTGGCTGAAGTTTGTAAGGCTCTGGTTTGGTGTTGAGCGTTGGCCTTTACAAGGTGCTGCGGGCACTCCGTGTGCTGGACGTAGATCTGATCAACTGAAAGGGAGTGCTGCAGCTTTGGGCTGTGGGGTTTGGCACTGTGCTCAGCTCAGATGCCTCTTGTCTTCCCTTGAACAGCTCAGTGGATTTGGGCAAGCGTACCCTATTTCCTGTTTAACTCTAAACTAATGCTTGTTTCAAAGCAGCCGTGTTACTTCTGCTGACAAATGATCTACAAGAGAATAATCTTCTATGGACGCTGTTGCTGGGTTGTGGGAAATAGAGGATGGTGGTGGCAGATAGAAGCACAAAGCCTGGCTGGGGCAGCTGTGTCAGAGGGACATACTGCCGTTCTCTGTGTTCATCTGATCCTTTAGGGACACGAGTTTGAGTGACACAGAGAGGTGTCAGTTGGGATTAGCCCTTGCTAGGCAAGGCTGTTTGTGGAAAACTGCAGGAGAAACATGTAAGAGAGATCTAGAATGGGAAGAGATAATAGGATGCAGCTCTGTGTGCTGAGTTCTCAGGCAGGGGTCGGCTGGAAGCTGCTGTGTGGTCTACTGGGTTGCATCCAGTTGTAGATGGTGTCCCCAGTGTCACCTGAGGCTTTGCAGAGCATCACTTCCAAGTGAGAAGCTCTGGCTAGAGTTCCTTTTCCAGGAAAGGATGTAAAATGTCAAGGCTTGTTGGCTTGCATCGCTGCTTATCTTGAGTTTGCTTAACCCTGAACATGCATGCAGGGTTTTGAGGTCTGCTCGTTCAGGGGCTGAAGTCTGAAGTACCACCTGCTCCTATGGAGCTGGAGGGCAGATGAAGCTCTTGGGGGCAGCCTGATCTCCTTGCAGCCTCTCTTAATGCAGCCATCAGTCCCTAAACAGCCTAAAGTGGGAAAAGGGGCAGAGGGTCCCTGCCCTGGCAGGAGGGATGCTGGGTACCTAAAGTATGATTTTGTTTGGAAGTGTTAATGAAAGCATCAGCCTCCTGCTGCCGGTGGAGATGTGCTGGTCTGGGCAGCCAGGCCATGCTGACATGTCAGTGCTGCAGTGTGAACAGCACTGTGAGGCTCTCCAATCCCTGACATTTTTATGCTGATTTGTGTATTTTTTAATCCTTCAGATGTATTGGTCTCTAAGTACTCTCTTTTTTTTTTTTTTTTTTTTTTTTTAAGAGGAAAATAACTCAAGCAGTTTGGGTAATAACAGTACTTAGTGCTTAATGAATACTGTGGAATTAATCCATGTGGGCCAATAAATAAAATTCTGTTGGTTTTGGCTGGGAAATGGTGTGAGACCAGCTTCCTGCAGGTGTGGGGAGCAGCTGCCTGCAGAGCTGTTCACCAGGGCTGTGCCCCAGAGGTAGAGGTGGTAAATCTGCTGAGCTGTTGGTGCTTGGGCTCACACTTAGCCCTCCATCTCAGTGCTTTCCTCACCCTTGTGCTGCATGGGATGACGTGTGTTCCTCAGGCTTGCTCTGATGTGCTGCTTGGTCCACGTGCCAACCCTTGGGGTCAGTGCAGGTGTCCCATACCTGTTCCATGCAGTCCTGAGCCCCTTCCATTGATTCAAACAGAACCCAGCAGTACAAATAGGTCCTGTGGGGAGAAAAACACTTCCCATTGACCAGATCCCTTGCATGACCACGTGTTGGCTCAGTGCATGGGCTCACAGGGTCAGGTGGATGAGCATGGGCACCGCGTTGCTGTGTCCTGCTTGTGCCAGCAGGGAGGAGCAGCACTGAGAATGGAGATGCTTAATTTTGTGCAGCTCTTCGTTGTTTCATGTATCAGCTACTGCAGATTAAAACTGATGGTTTGATTCACCTCTTGTTTTCAGGCTATAAGTTGATAGGAAGCCATTCTGGAGTGAAGCTGTGCCGGTGGACAAAGGTATGCTCTTTTACTTTTTCTCTGTTTATAAGTTGAAAGCTAGAGACTTATTTCTTAGAGCTATACAAGTATACAGCTTCCAGGTGGAATACCCTTTGAAAATGCTCTGTTACCTCCAAGACAACGCTTCACTTCCCAAGCTCTAGTTCTGCATGTCAGGCTATTACAGCCCCACTGCCAGCAGTCAGAACATGAGCAGAGAGCTGGAAAAGATCACGGTTTCTGTTTGTCCATTCTGTTTGGAATCCCTGCTGCCTACAGCGATGCAGGACAGGACTGGAACGCCACGCACTGAAGTGGGAAGATTGCATCAGAGGTGTGAGGTCCTGAGAGACAAAGGCAGCACAGCTCGTCGCTACGTTCAGGTGGCATGTGGGCACTCAGACCTGTGGTTCTGTGGCTGATGCATCTGATTGGCAACACTCCTCTGCTCTTCTTCCCCTTGGAAGGTTCATATAGCAAACCTAGCAAAGCAGGTGAAGTTTGCTCTGTTTCTTGCTCCAGCTGTCCTCTGCAGGTCCCTGAGAAGCAGTTCACAGCTCGCATGCTGAAAGCTGCTCCGTAAGGGTGTGCATTTGAGGAGTAGCATGGATTCTAACATGCTGAAGCTGTCGGCGTTCACAGGGCCATAAACTGGGAATCAGCATCTCATCAGAGTGCCAGCTGACTCCTGTGCGGTGGCAGCGATCAGTTCCTGGTCTCAGCTCTCTTTTGCTACGTGATTAACTTTGTTTATTTTTAAGAGGAGCTCTGTGGGTGGCTGCAGTGAGGCTTTATTTAATGCTTGCTATCAATGAACTGTCTCATCAAAGGCTCCTTGTGAACAGCTTAGCAAGCCCACCGCTGTATTGTCAGGAACATTTGAGGCGTGCTGATCCCAGCAACGCTTCTGCCGTTTGCTCTGACAAATATTTCTCTCCTCTGTTGTTCTTGGTGCCAGGGAAGGCCGTGAAATGTTTAAAGGAAAACTTGTCAGGCTTCGTCGGTGCTGGGGCTGAGAGAGAACCAGAGAACCTATTTTTATTAAAGAACTGAAATGTAATGCAGCACTGTAAAGCCATTTCACAAAATAAATAGCAGCTCTGTGTGCTTAGATAGGCCCTTCCTATTTTTAGCTTAAGCAGGAGTTGAATAGAAAGAGCTCTAATAAATGGAGCTGAAATTGGTTACAGGCAGTGGCGTTGATTCAGATTCACACCAGTGTGTGAGTGCCTTCAGGAGGGCTGGTCTGGATTTGTATCAGTGAGAAACAAGCCAGGGTTGGAAGGAGGAGCGTTACAGAAAGCTCTGTAGTGCTATCTCAGTTTGAAATCAGTGTCTGCTGGATTCTGGAAATAGCAGAGAACCTGCAAATGTAAGGAAGAGTCCAATTTGCCGCCTTGATGAGATCTGTGAGACAGCTTGCTCTGCTGGAATTGGAGTCTCCTGGAATCTGTGGTTGGAGGGATGGATGGAGTAAACAGCATTTTCCATTCTGTTTAATCTCTCACCTGTATGCAGTGCTTTATGTACGCCAGGCACTGCCTCTGTTCTTCCCCCACAGCTCACTGCAGACCTGTTTCTGCATCGCTAGGACCCTTCACGTAGAGGAAGATAGATTAAAAGTTACACAGCCATATTTCACACTTTCTCCGGAGAGCGTTGAAGAACCTTTCCCATTTATTATTATTAAGCTGAGATCATGGAAGACAGTCCCTGCTCCCTGCGTGCTGAGCAGGAGAAGAGCGTGGTGAGAAGGTGTCTGCAGCTCTGGGAAGGAAGCTCAGTGTCCTGCTGGGGCCAGTGGTGTGAGTGGGGGTTTGGAGGGGCAGGGTATCTTTTAATGGGAGGCTAGAAGAAGCACTCTGCACAAAAATCTGGGAGAACTGAGTGTTTCATAGAGCAGCCATTACATTGACCCTCGTTACTCTTTATTGGTCTTGTACAATAATTCTTACAGCCTAAGTGGCTTCACTTGCTTCCTACGTTGGCTAATTCAGTTGAAAGCACCCTGCTACGCTTTGGTGTTACAAGTGAGAAGGTATTGATTTCACTTAAGTTTCCTCTAGGGCAGTTAATGTTGGCACCATAATACCTTGTTTCTGTTCAGCTGTATGTAAGCAGTTGGGCTGTATGCTGATCATGCTTTGAATTTCTTAAGCTGGAGTGCATTTGTCGTTTCTCTGAGCTGCTCCATGTCTGCAGCACCCATCACAAGGTGACTTTGGACACCAGTGCAAGTGAATGCATTAAATGTGCCCAGGGAGCTGATTTTAAAGCCTTTCTTGTATTTGTGTGTCTCTTTCTCTGCTGCAGTCGATGCTCCGAGGCAGAGGTGGCTGCTACAAGCACACCTTCTATGGAATCGAGAGCCACCGCTGCATGGAGGCCACACCAAGCCTGGCCTGCGCCAACAAATGCGTGTTCTGCTGGAGGTAAAGTGCTGGAGCAGCTCTGCTTTGGGAGAGGTCACCTGCTTACATGCCGTGTTACCCCCGTGTCTGTGGTCTTTCGTGGCGTAGCAATGCAAGGGGCAGAGCAGAGCCCAAGCAGCAGTGTGTGCGGTGCTAAACCTGTGCCCTGCTCTGGACAGCCCTGTGTGGGCCAGCTGGGCTCTGAGCCACTCCATTGCTGTCAGGGAGCTCTGCTCCCCTCTCCTCTGAGTGCTGTGAGGCCCCTGGGCTGGGACTGGTGGGGCTGCTGTGGTCTGCCCATCTCTGGGATTTAATCATGGGCTGGCTTGGGTTGGAAGTGACCTTAAAGATCATCCAGTTCCAACTCCCAGTGAATTGGGTCTGAGGGCTCCCCAGTGCCCCCTTGCCTAGAGTAGTGTCCTCTGTGTCTATGTCCTGGGCCCCAGCAAGTTCAGATGTGCTGGATACCAGTGGAAGGTGAAATCAAGGAGTTGGGTAGGCTGAGAGAGAGTGCAGTCCGTGGGTCCCTCTGCTCCCTGCTCTGAACGAGCTGGCAGGTGTCAGCCCTTGTTATGTGTTTCCCTCTTGAGATGGCTAGAGCTTTGGAGAGCATGGATGAGCTCTCGCCTTGTGCAAAGCCACCGACGTGCTAAACGTTGCAAGTACTTTTGTTCTGAAATCAAATCCTGTTTCTTACTTAAAATACCTTTGCCCCCAACTCAGTCACGTTTTCAGTGAGTGAAATGTGATGACTTCACCAACTGTTGCTTTGTAAAGCAGCTGATAAATAATCTTGCATCTTAGTGAAGTGACCCCTTTCTCAGAGGGATTGCTTCCTTGTCCTTCTCTGAAGCTTTGCCTGGATCTGAGCTGCGAGCTGCCCCACTCACCAGATGCTGGAGGGAGGCTTCTGCTGGACTGGGGGATGTGAGAGGGGATCTCTGAGGCTTGGCAGAAATAAAAGTGGTGACGTGCAAGTGTGCTGAGTGGGTGGACACACGTTATTCTTTCAGCTCTTTTGTCTCCTACCTTGCTAGCTATTTCAAACCACGGGGGCTGCACATCCTCTGCTATTTAAGTCTGCTATGGGGGGCTGGCTGCCAGGAGCAGCCGTTCTATCCCTAAGCCTGGGTATCCAACGTGCCACTATTTTCATGCCAAAACAGCCAAAGCCTTTCCCATCTTTTCAATCTTCAAGCTCTAATAATGCAAATATTTCATGAGGATATTAAAACGACAGCATCCATGCAGAGGTATGGCTGTAATTCTGAATGCACTTTGAAGCTGTCTCCCATGTTAATATTAAGTATAAGCATCAGGCAGTAGTTATCCAGTTAAGTTTGCATTTGGGACTCTATTCCAGAATGTTAATTGGTTCTCTTGATGGGCTTTCATCCTTTCCTGGCTTGAAAGGACACAGCAAATGGCATGTTTAATGTGCAAGTGTTGCCACTTTTCTTCAGAGTACATAATAACAATCTGATGACTGAAGAAAAACGTACTGCTTGTTCCTTTTTTCCATCTATCAGCTTGCAATGGTGCATTGAATTCTGCAGCTCTGTCGGTGCTGATGGGGCAAGATTGCCATGTGTATTATTGTCCCTTTGTCCCTACACAGAAGGTACACCATAAACAGCAAATAAAAAGCAATAACATCACCAAAATGAAGTGGGTTTTTTTTCCTGGTATTGTACTGCAGGCCATTTAACACTGCTCCTCTTCAAAATGACACAACTCTGCTGGTTTTTATTTTTTAGCAGCAGTCTGTGTCTGGAGAATGGGGCTAAATTAGAGAAGCCAATTGTGAATTGGGATAAATAGCTGTGTGTGGTACCTTCCATGCAACTCCAGCCCATCGTTCTGGAGGCATCATTCCTCACATTTAAGAGGAGTCCTGGAAGCAGTAGCTTTATTTCAAACCCACCACTTTGTGCAGGTTCTTAATCCCACGAGGCTGAAGGCGGCGTCCCAGGCACCAGTGGCTGGGCTGTATGAACACAGACCTTGTTAGCAGTCACCATCTGTGCTGCTGGGGACATGGGAAGTGATAGTTTTGATCTGCTGCTGGCAAAATGTTTTAATAGAGGCTTTATGCTTTGGCCTCGTTGTGCAGCTCGGTGCGCTGAGCTGCAGATCAGAGCACTGTGGGTTTTTTTTGTTTATTTCTCAATCGTTGCTTTGTGGGTTGAACTGCTGAGGCTGTTGCAGTAAGAATAAAGAGGGGGGTTAAAAAAAAAAAACGAACAAAAACCAACAAAACAAATAGACTTTAATTACTGCACCGTCCCTAACTCATAGCTCTCCCTATAAAAATAGTCTGCTGTCTGTTACTGTTGCTCCCAGTTGCTCTTGCTGTTTGTAGTGCTTCTTTAGCTTAATTGTCTAAATGGAAATGTGTGAGTGACCAAATCTCTTAATCAATTAGGGCGAGTGTGGGACTGAGGCTGCCTGATGCTGCTGGTGATTGTGTTGCAATCCAAACCTGATTTGATTATGTCCTCTGGGTGAGTGTCTAAAACACGATCCATTATTGTGGAGAGATGGAGCAGCTAATAAAGCCTATTAATTTAAACCTCATTTATTTTGGGCCCGAGGAGGAGGCAAATCAGGCAGAATAAAATATTCCATAAAGAATTTGGTTTGTATTTCTGTTAACTTTTGTAGTGTTTATGCCTGTGCTGGGAGGCTTCAGCTGACGTGTACAGCAGGCTGAATTTGTGCTCAGGCTGAGGGCTCCTCTTTACAGTAAGATTGCTACTCCCTTCTTTTTATTTACATGCATCTGACGTGGAGGTAAGGTCACTCTAGATGACCATAAGGTTACTGGAACCCAACAGTAGCATCTGCCATGGGGGATTCCCAGCACATGCTGCGCAGTGAGGAGCCTTGATTCCATCATCGTGCAGAAGGGTCGTGATGGGGTGGAAAAGGATCCTGGTAGCAATGTCTGGGACTGACATCTCTGCTTCTCATCATGCTGTATGTGCACTCTTGGACACGCAGCTGTTGTTAAAGTAAATGCTCACTGCTTCAGTGAATATAGCCAGCTCACTGCCTCTGGAATGCTCATGTCTTGGCAGGTGTCATAGGTGGCTTGGTACCCATTTATAGTAGTCAGTAACTTGATTTTGATTAAAAAAAAAAAAAGAAATCAACCCATGCCTTTTTCAGCTGTCTCAGAAAATTATATTTGATTTGAAAACATGTCAAGTCCAAGTTTCACTTTTGGAAAATAGTGAACATCATGTTGCGCTTAAAATGATTTTTAGATATCCAGTGATTGATGTAGACTTAATTCCTTTGTGTTAATTAAACTTATCAGCATGTAGGAATCATTCCCAGCCTTTTGAAAAACTTTTATTGTTTTCCTCTGTTTGTTCATTATAAGCTGTTGTTCTCTTAAGCCTACCAACAAAAGATGGAGCAACGTGGGGGAAAAAACCCAACAATTGAATGGGAAGTTTCTGTAGGTGCATTCTGTGCTTTTATCCTCAGGTAACAGTTTAAAAAGGTGCTTTTTAATTGTTGCTCCTATCTGAAGTGAGCATTGGCTGATTTTCAGAAGATAAATAGAAAATAAAACTGTGTTTGCTGTGCCCAGGGGCAGGAAGCCCCGATGCTTGCAGCCTGCTGCAGGTGCTCTGCATCCCCAGCCATCTCCTCTGCTCTGCTTTCAAGGCTGCTATTGCTTTTCCTGTGCACGCACAGAGCGTTGTGTGTAAGCACTGCTGAGCTCTGTGCTTGCCTATCTTGTGGCCAGTTGTGGGTTGTGACTGCTTGTCACCACTGCTATGTGATGATGTCAGTGTAATGATCTGCTGCTAGTTGTGTGTGTTTCCTATGGGTTTGCATCTCCCAGTGTGTGGGTTCTGCTGCTGGGCAGCTGCAGCCTGGTGCCCTGCCCTGGGGATGCCCCTTGGGCCAGGTCTCTCATCCTTCTGAACCAGTGGTGGCACATCTCTGGTTGGAGTTTTCCATTGCGTCCTTAAGCTCTTCCACAGAATTGCATTGCCTCCATGATAATGTCTCTTTGTTCAGGTCATTAAAACACTGGATAAATCAAAAGCTCGGCCTCTTCTTTTTTCCTCTTTCCCTCTCTTAATCTTGACGTAAGACATTCTCAACAGATCGGAGTTGGCTGCTGCTCATCCTCGTGCTGTCTTCTGGTTCCCATGTGTCCTGAGGAGCAAAGAGTTACAGGGGGCTGGTACAGGGGTTCCTGCTGGAGCACTGCATTCACTCCCTCACAGTGTCAGAAATCACTCTTGTGTGCTGCCCTCAAGCATTTCTCGTGATGCCCTGTCAGCCGGTCCATCCAGTGCACTGAGGAGTTTGGGATCCACCCCTGTGGCAGCACTTTGAGATGTTCACTGTTTACCTGTCCTTTTCATCACCTCTCCCTGTTTTCCCCTTTGCCAGTGGGAGATGCAAGCAGTTTTCTTGGCATAACAGAGAAACGTTAAACTTTGTCCTTGTGCGTTGGCTGGACTTCTTCCTTGGCCATCTGCTTGCTCCCCACGTCGTTATAGGGAGGTCTTTCTTGCTGGCCCTTTTATGCATCCTGTGGTTGTTGTGCCTTGACCTCTGAGTGTGACCCTGTGGTTTTGTTCTTTTCAGATGGAGCACTGCAAGGTTGCAGCAGCGCTGTGATTCTGCCAGATTGGTTTCTTGTTACACTTCTATCTTTGCTTTTTATTGCCACAGTTTGCACTTCTGCCTTAATAGGATTTCAAAAGCTGCCAGTTCCCTGGAACTCGTTGCCCTTAAGCCTTTCTCTCTCCTCTGGAACCTCACCTGCTGGCTCTGGGGCTCACTGCATCCTGCAGTCATCAGCTCTTAGTTTTGTTCTGCTTTTTCCCTCCCATCCTTTCCTAGGAACCACACGCCCTGTGCTTTCACAATTTTCCAGCAGCAACGTTTTCCTTTTCTAATATAGTGAGGGTTTTCTGGTGTGTGCATGAAGTTTATTTTAGGCTGAGAAGTGATGCCCCATTACCTGCCCAGGACCCGAGTAGCTGGTGAGATGCACGACTCAGAGGTATGGAAAGGGAATGGCTGTGTCACGGCCTCTGCAGTGATCCCATCAGCCACCAAACGGTGCTTTGTTTCCTAGGGAAGGAGAAGCTGCTGTTTGCCATTGAGCTGCTTTGCAGGCACGACTTGGTATGTTTTGTGAGCAGTTGGAATGTGTTAGAAAAGCAAGGACTGCTTGGCGCTGGTAATTAATAGTTGTCCAGCATGCATTAAGAGCCTATTGATTTCCTGCCAGCTTGCCCTGTTAAATATATAGGGTACAAGCTATGTAGTTAAACATGTAAGTGGTTTATAAATGCCTTTTTATAGTTGGTATTCAGAAAATTTTCCGTGTTGGCAGCAAATAAAAAATTAGAGAGGAAGGCTGCTATGGCTTGAAGGATCTGTGAGATGATAACAGTTTGAGAGCAGCGTTTGGGTCTTTGCTCTCCCTGTGGACAAAGAGATGCTTGCAGAGGTTGGTTCTGTTGATGTTGGGTTTAGAATCTGTCTTAGCACAGCCCAAGCGTGGAACTGCAGGTTTTAATCATGTGGGGAAATCAGTGGGAGTCCTGCTTGTCTCCAGGAGGCACTGAAGCAGCCATTTCCTTCTGAAGAGGTGCCCTGCCTGCTGTGTGCTGGCTGTCACATCCCAATGGCCTTGGAGCTGGAAGGCTGAGAAGGCAGGAGCTGCCAGTCCTCCCCATGGCTGACCGCAGCACAGATCAGCTGATCAGAGATTTGCCTTGCAATAGGAGGTGCTGCTTGATGTTTTCTTGCCCAGCCCTGGGTTAATCCAGTAGTGCTGTTTGGAAAAGGACAGCAAATACATGCTGCTCTTCTTAATACGTTACTCCATGAGCCGCAGTCGAATCAGGAGGGGAGAAGTGGAGAAAGTTTTGTAGTTTTAGAGAAAAAGAATGAGAGGGCAGAGAACAAGGAGTTGAAAGTGCAGGAATTCTTTGATGTTCTGAGTGCATCCTGTAGGCACCTTCCTATCCCTGTTTGCTACTAACATGAGTGCAGCAAGGTCCCTGGGATGAGAGGTTTCAGAAGAAGAGGTGATGGCTTTAATTTGTACCGGAAGAGTCAGATTGGATATGAGGAAGAGTTTCTTCTCCAAAAGAGCTGCCCAGGGGGCAGTGGGGTCCCTGGAGGTGTTCCAGAACCAGAAAGATGTGGCACTGAGGGATGTGGGCAGTCAGCATGGTGGGGGTGGGTTGTGCTTGGCCTTGGAGATCTTGGAGATCTTTTCCAACCTTTAGATGCTGTGAAATGCCCCTCACCATAAGAGGTCCATGCTTGTGCACAGCCTGGCTGTGGTGTCCAATGCAGGCACACGCTGGTAGCACACCGCTTTGGGGCATTTCCTTTGCTGGCCTGGATTAGAATCATAGAATGGCTTGGGTTGAAAATGACCACAATGTTTGTCCAGTTTCAACCCCCTGCTGTGTGCAGGGTCACCAACCACTGATTAGGTTCATCCAGGTGGCTGCTAATGGTGTGGTGACATCCTCTTGTGCCAAAGAATAAAGAGGAGAAGCTTCAGGTACCTTCCATGCACTTGGGTGGTGGATTTCCCTGCATGGGCTTTTTGTGTTTTTGAGGAAAGCAAAATGTGAGTACAGTGGTGCTTTCTGTGTAGGCAACATTGATTTCCAAACCCAGTTTGACACAGCTGTTCCTTAGAAGGATCATGAGGTGGTTTCTGCAATCTGCATTTGAGTGTCAGTAGCTGGTTAGCTTGCAGATCTCAGAAGTGATGGGAGCTCCTGCTGAGTAAAGCTGGGAGCCCAACCACATCCACCAAAGACACAGCTCTGGCATGCTGCAGGCCCCCATTGAGCAGCCTGCCCTCATTTGTCTTCTTACTAGAATGTTAACCAGGAATTGGCTTAGGAATAAACCTTTTCCTTCAGTACCTCCAGAATGGAACTTAAGAGGGGCTTAGGATCTTCCTTGTTGAGTGCTTTGTGTAGCTGTTATTAGAAAAGGAGATAGAGTGGATTTTTCTTTCCTTGATAGAGGTCTTGCTGACTGCAGAGCATCATTTGACTTCTCATAAACCTTTTACCCACGATTACAAATAGATGCACAATGTTGATACTGGGCTGCAGTGTTTGCTCTTCTTCCTGGGGAGACCAGAGAGTGGGAGGAGGAGGACGTGAGAGTGGTGCCCAGCGATCACATCTGAGAGTTGTCAGAAGGATCCTGCAGATAATTTGCTGCTGCTTTTAATTTTATTAAGCAGTGCCAGAGTCCACAGGGTGACAGATGGGTTTGTGCAAACTGCAGCGAGTCACTCTGGTCTCTTTTTCCTCCAGACATCATACGAATCCTGTGGGCACGGAGTGGCGATGGAAAATGGATCAACCTGAGATGATCTTGAGGGAAGCTCTTGAGAATCATCAGAACATGATCAAGGAGTTCAAAGGTAACTAACTTCTCTTCCCATCACTGATGCTGTTTGAAGATGCAGAAGCACCTTTAGAGCTTATATCAGAGCATCCTAGTCACCTGCAGGACAGAAAGAGGCATAAGATCTATGATCTCAGAAGGTGGGAAAACCTCGAGGGCATGATTACTGCTTGGTTTTAGCAAGGTTTTGTCTTGTTTTTGTCATTACAACCTGAGTCAGCTGTTGAGTGCCTACCCCTGCCTTGAGGGAGCAGACTGGAGCTGCCTCTTGTGCATGCTGGTAGCTGTGACATCGTGTCCCTCTGTGTGCCCTGAGGCTTCCACAGCAGTTAAAGCTCACCTGGGTGATGAGTGATTTCATTGTTCTTATGTCAAAGTGAGAGCAGATGGAATGCAAGAGGGATTGATATCCAACACAAGTAAGAAATACATTGTCTGGGCTAGAAGCTTCCACTAGAAGCTTTTGTTACCTCTGAAACTTCTAGATTTTCCTCATTAATAAGTGAGCAGTAACATTCAGGTTATTATTTTTGAGGATTACTCAGTGTATTTGTGTGCAACTGAAGCTGCAGTTATTCGCTGATCTGCTAATTACTGTATTTTGCTTCCATTATCAAATCCTTGTGGGTTCATTTATTTGCTTTTAGCTGTACGTATAGAAATATTTGCTTTCTTCTATTCTTCTCTCCCCAAGCAGTGAGCGTGGTCACCCTGCCAAGGTCAGCCCTGTGCTCAGCGTGCCGACCAGCTTGGCAGGACAGGTCTAGAACTCTGCTCCTCCTAATTGACAGGAGAGGCTGTGCGAGCAGCAGGAGTGAAATGAAGCATCCATTAAAAGTGCAAGAGGAGCCTTAGCCTTGGCTGTCGTTTTGGGATCCTGTTTGTTTACGTTGGCTGTGTGCAAAGAGAACCCAATGGCTTAAAAATGTGACAGGCGAAAAAACTCGTGTCAGCGGAGCAGCGTTGCTCTGCCTCATTCATTGGACTTATGCAGTAGGCAGAAAAATAACTGGAGCTGAGGCCTCACGAGCTTTGCTGCTCACAGGGGCTGGTTTGCATCATCTTGCAGTTTCAGATCCCTGGGAGCTCCCGTTCTGAGCTGCAGGGAGAGCAGCCAGGTGACCCAGCCGTGCTGCTGTGTGCGTGCAGTGTGGAGGGCTGGGTTGCTTCTGGCAGCCAGGCTCTTAAAGGAGTTGAAAGTGTCTTGGCAGGCTGAAGGGGTTGTGCTCAATGGGTTCAGGTCTGGTTGGTGGCTGATAACATGCAAGGCGTTTCAGGTGTTGATCCAGGAGCCTGTGCTGCACAGCTCAGAAAGCAAATGGTGTCCTGGGCTCCATCAGCAGAGGGGTGGCCAGCAGGGACAGGGAGGTGATCGTCCCCCTCTGCTCTGCTCTTGTGAGGCCCCATCTGCAGTGCAGTGTCCAGGTCTGGAGCCCCAGTACAAGACAGGGAGCTGCTGGAGAGGGTCCAGAGGAGCCACAAAGATGATCAGGGGCTGGAGCAGCTCCCCTACAAAGACAGGCTGAGGGAGCTGGGCTTGTTGAGCCTGGAGAAAAGAAGGCTGCGGGGTGGCCTCATTGCAGCCTGCCGTACCTAAAGGGAGCCTGCAAACAGGAGGGGAATCAACTCTTTGAAAAGGGAGATAACAGCAGGACAAGGGGAAATGGTTTGAAGTTGAGGGAGAGAAAATTGAGGTTGGATGTCAGGGGAAGTTCTTTACTATGAGAGCAGTGAGGTGCTGGAACAGCTGCCCAGAGAGGCTGTGGATGCCCCATCCATCCCTGGAGGTGTTCAAGGCCAGGTTGGATGGGGCCCTGGGCAGCCTGGGCTGCTATGAAATGTGGAGGTTGATGGCAGGGGGGTTGGAGATTCACGATCCTTGAGGTCCCTTCCAAGCCTGGCCATTCTGTGATTCTGTGATCTCAGTGAATGGATGGTGAGACTGAATGCACACTCAGCAGCATTGCAAGCACTCCTAATTTCGAGAGGGTGGGAAGCACACTGAGCAGCAGGGCTCCGCTTCAATAGAGCTCTGGAAACCTGGCTGTTGGACTGAACACAGGGATATGTGTGCAGTTCAGCCTGAATTGGAAAGGTCTGTGTGAAGATGTCCTCACCACCATCTGCTGGCAGGAGACCCACCTGCTGTGGGTGAACAAGGGGCAGCAGACTCAGGTTGCTGTTTGATAGCTTCAAGCTGTCCAGTGAAGAGAGTGCATGTTTGCACATGTACTCAAGTAAGCAACTCTCCAACCATGGAGGTTTTCAAGGCTTCTAAGCAAAGCTGTCACCATCTCAGCCAGTGCTGGAGCCTGAGCTGACACCTGCTGCAGTGGTTCCATGATTTGTGTTGCACCTATCAAAATCAAAAGCCCTACAAATAGTAAAACATCCTATCTTCTTTTCTGTCAGATAGGGCTTGAGTCAAAATATTTGTTTATATTCACACAGAAGAAAAGCAACACACTGTTAAAGTGATGCATGACCCAGGGGCAATTCCTGCATTCTGTGTTGAAGCACTGCAATGTGATGGAGGCATTGCTCCTGCAGGGCAGAAATGTGGTGTGTTTGCACAGCAAGTCGGTGAAAACTAGAAGTTCCTGCAAAGAAACTTCTGTTTGAAGCCCAGCATTCTCCTGAAAGTTGTGTGTGGGAGTTGGTTTAAACCCAACTTCAAACTGTGAAATAAACCTTTCTTCCTTAAAACAACAGCAACAGACACAACACCGACAGATTGCACATCGAGCCTGTGCACACAGAGCAGACCCAGCACGGTGCTCTGTCTCATGTGCACGTCTCATCACCCATCATTGGAGGTCCTCCTGACCTCTTGTTGGAGCCACTGGAGCAGGGATGCCAAATCTCTTGGATGCCATTGGAAAAAGGCAGCCCAGAGCTCGGGTGGGAAGCCAAGTTCAGGAGCAATGAGCATCAGCTCTGCTCATGCTGCAGGCTGTAACTGAGCGTGCTGTGGGGCAGGGCACTTGAAGTAATCATCATCTGACCTCACCAAGGCCTCAGTCAGTACTGTGAGACTTACAGATACGCTCAGCTGGAGTCCAGGCACAAATCCACACTGGACTCTGCCACTGCCCTAATTTATACATGAGAGTCAGTGAGGTGGCAGCCGTCTCTTGCTGGTGTCCCAAACCCTCAGCTGATGACCTCACAGTCTGTGGCTGCGTGTGTTTGAGCACCAGCCTGAGCCTCCATCACCCTCCATCGTGGCCTAAAACTTGAACGTAGGAAGTTCCATGCAAACATTCAAAAGAGCTTTATGGTGACTGTGATGGAGCACTGGAACAGGTTGCCCAGAGAAGTGGTGGAATGTCCTTCTATGGAGATCTTCTGGACTGTCTGGACACCTACCTGTGTGACCTGCTTTGGGGTACCTGCTGTGGCAAGGGGGTTGGACTCGGTGATCTCTTGAAGTCCATTCCAACCCCTGTAATTCTGTGATTCCATGGTTTTCCTTTGCAGTGTGATATATTTGGGAAAACAAAAATTGCATAAAAATTTACTATCTTCACAATAATCCATCTTCCCTTAACTGTTGTCACTTTCTGAAACTCAGACACTGTTTTGCCTTGTCCCAGTTTGGATGCAATAGCAATTGGCAGCAATCTCTACGTCAGGCTTGCTTTTTATACCAAATGCTCCTATCACAGCAGGTTGTTTGCTCACGCTTTTCCTATGCAGCCTACTGCAGGGAACCTGCCTTAGCAGGAGAATCTCCAGAGATCCCTTCTGATCCCCGCAGTTCTGCAGTTCTGCTTCTCCCCTTACTGCACTTCTCAAAAAACGTTGGAGAGGAGGAAAGATTCCAGAGTGATTTGGCAGGAGCTGTTCCTAAAGAGTCAGGAGCTCTGCAAAGACAGTCCTGTTCTCTCTTCTGGAACTTATTTTCCATTAAACCCATTGCCAGACATTCCCTAAACGTGCATGTGCTTCCTAGCAGCGTTACCCTGGGCCAGGAGTTGTGAGAGTGCAACCAGAGGGCAATCTGTGTCCTGCAGGAACCTCACTGTGTGCTTCTGAAAACGTGTTCCCTCCTCTTTTAACGTTTGCCATGGTTTGTGCAGGTGTTGGAGACCGTAAGTGTTAGTTAATGTCACGTAATTCTCCTAAAGAAGAACTGTTGGAGAGGCATCTTCCTGACAGGGAGCGGAGGTGGGGAGGTGTGAAGCAGTTTGTTTGATGGATACGTTTTGCAGGTAGGGACTGTGAGTCTCTGTGCCCTTGTGGAGGGCACACGTGGAATGGAAACATAACTCAGAAATAAGAGAGTGGATGTGTGACAGCACAGCCCTGGTTTGGCTGGGGGGAAAAATGAAGGAATAGACACAAACATGTGACCTGGAAGAGGAAATCCTGCGGGCTTACAGGACGAGGTGTGTTCTGAGCAGTTCCCACTGGGGTCTTAAAGTTAGATCTGGGAATGCCTGTGCGTGATGCTACATTGGTGTTCTGTGCATCGCAGGCACAGGAGGCTGCAGAGGGACACCCACATCCAGCAGGCTGTGCTGGGCCATGCTTTAGTTTCCCTGATCCACGTGCACTGGTAGGATAGCAGCTGGAGGCAGCAGTGCCCACTAATCCTGTTTGCTTTGCTCCTGTCTAGCTTGTGATTTATGTGGGCAAATGATTGCATGTAAAACCCTTGCCCTCATCTGCGGTGTGTTTGCTCTATGTGCCACTGTGATGTAAACTGATTTGAGAAAGTTCCTTTTGAACTCTGTGATGTTGGAATTTTTCTTCCAGAGCTGGCACTATAATTGCTGCAGTCCTATTGCCAGATGCTGAGACAGAGAGAAGTTAATTCCCCAAACGACCCACAGTAGCTCTAGAAAAACAAAAGGCAGTTCTTTCATCTCCGTGTGTGGCTGAGATGCTCCTTTCTTTCCCAGTAGTTCCCAATAAAGCTCTCATTTAGCGCTGTCAGGTTGCTGCAGTGCAGCCATTAGTCCTGTCCCTATTCAGGACGAAGCCCGGCTGGTTTCAATGTGCTGAGCTTCGCTCTGATCACCAACCAGCTTTCTGCGTGAGGCTGAAGCAATATCCACCAACACCTCTTTTTTATCTAGGCTTTGCAGCATAGCATGTAATTTTCTGTGCTGTTTGAGCTCCAGCGTCTAGGCAACGGGAGGTGAGCTGAGGACCTGCTTTCAAACTTTCAAACTCTTTGCTTTTTGAAGCAGACCAACCCCCAGCCCAAAACCTCAGATGTTGTTCAAGTCCATCAAGGCACGCCGAGGAAATGGGATGTGACACATCTGGAACAAAAAGCTTGCTTGCAGTCGGATGCCTTCATAGGGGCTCCTGAGCGCATAGCTGGGTATGGATGGAGCAGCCTTCCCTCTCCCCTGCCTGCTCATGGGTGGAATAATTGCAGTTCAGATCTGCTAAACCTGCAGACGGATGCTGCAGTTGGATTCCTCGTTTTTCTCGTTGCTCTGAAGTTTCTCTGGCTGCTCACACGTGGGTGTTCTTTGGGGCACGTCCTCTGGGTTGTGCCCAGCAGACCTGGTGGCTGAGCTGTGCCCAGCTCCTCTGGGGGCTTTGTTCTCATGGGGCAGCTGGTTGGCAGGACTGAGAATCAGAACGTGGCGTGACTTCTGTGAGTGCCTGCTGGAAGTGGCACAGAGCTTGCTCCTGTGCTTGTCTTAGCATTTAGGCAGTGTCACCAAGATCTTAGCAAGGGGAAGTTTGACTCATGTCACTGGAGTGGATTGTGACAGCTGACTGAGCCCTGAGCCTCGTGTGCCTGGCCATGCACTGCTGTGCGGGCTCCTGCAGGGCTGTGTTGGGTCTCTCTGCCATGGCTTGCTGTCCACTCTGGTACAGAATGGCTCCAACTGGCATCTCCTGGTGCCAGGGTATATTTTATCATAGAGCTACAGAATGGTTGAGGTGGAAGGAACCTCAAAGCCCATCCAGTTCCAACCTGCGGGCTGGGTGCCCCCCAGCTCAAGCTGCCCAGGGCCCGTCTATGGCCTGGGGCACCTCCAAGGATGGAGCACCCACAGCTCTGCACAGCAGTGCCAGTGCCTCATTGTCCTCCGGGTGAAGAATTTTCTCCTCACATCTGACCTAAATCTCCTCACGTTTAGTTTAAAGCCGTTCCCCCTCGTCCTGTCGCTATCAGACCATGTAACAGGTCGCTTTCCCTCCTGTCTCTTAAGTTCCCCTCAAGTACTGGAAGGCCACAGTGAGGCCTCATGGAAGGGAGGATGGAACACCCCCAACTCTCAGCCTGTCTCCATAGGAGAAGTGCTCCAGCCGTCTGAGCACCCTTCTGCCTTCCTCTGCACCTTCACCTTTCAGATTCAAACACAGCTGGGAGGATGCTGTGTGTAATTTACACCCTTTCTCTCTGCAGGAGTGACAGGAGTGAGGGCAGAGCGCTTCGAGGAGGCGATGGCAGCCAAGCACTGCGCTCTGTCCCTGGTGGGAGAGCCCATCATGTACCCCGACATCAACCGCTTCCTGCGGCTCCTGCACCAGCGTGGCATCTCCAGCTTCCTGGTTACCAACGCACAGTTCCCAGAGGAGATCAGGTGAGAGCTGAACAAAAGAAGTCCCCACTACAGCATGTCAGTGCTGACCCGTGCTGTAATGCCGTTTGGTCACTCAGCTCTGTGCTGGCAATGAAAGGGGCTCACCCAGCAGCTGCTGGATTTCCACCCGCATCTCCCTGTGTTCTCCCTCGTCTTTTTCTCTCTCTGGCTGAGCTCTGCCCAGGTCAGCCTCTCTGGCAGGACCCAGGGTATAGTTCTAACAGCAGGGACAAAGCACAGTGCCACATCACCCTGCAGAAGTGGCAGCAGAGGTGCTTGTGCTAAACGTTCACAACAGCTCAATGTACTCCCAGAGTTTTTCTTTTGCAAACACAAAAAACTGCTGGTTCTGATGGCCTTTTAACTACCAGGCTGTTTTTAACCAACCGAACCAAGGAAATGCAGTAAATACCCTTGCACTGCAGGATGGCTGGGAGCTCATCTGAGCACCATCAGTTCATGGTGCTGCCGAAATGCAGCCCTGCAGTTTGCTGAGCTGTGCTGTGTGAGGGCTGTTTGCAGCTCAGCCTATTTCAGCTCACTGCCTTTCCATGTTAGCACTCGGAGAGCTTCCTTTTCCTTTCCTTCTTCTGGTCTGAATATGGCAGTGAGGGGGGAAGGGCATGCAATTTTTGAGTGAGTAATTATACACTACAAAGGCATTCCAAATGATTGAATAATTGTGTAATCAAGTTACTTTAAGTCATGTATTATGTGCCTGATCGACAGAAATTGCTCCCTCCTAAAAATAGCCTTTCAGAAGGAGAGCATACTATATTTTGGAGCTGTATCTTTTAGGATCTGCTGATTGTTGTTAAAAAGAAACCAAAAGAGCAATAAAATGCAAGTCTTGGTGTCATTGAAAATTGCGACTGATCTTTGGCTAATCAAAGCAAATGACTTGCCCAGTAGGAGAGCTGAATGTGCACCAAGTTTGGTTTCTGTTGTCAGCAAAGGGGAGATGTAGTGTAAAAGTTGGTCCAGAAGTGGGTGGTGTGAGCTCAGAGCGTGCCTGGAGGGTTCAGTGGGCTTGAGAGGACCCCGGGGCTCCAGGGTGGTGCTTCCTGGGCCTTCCTCCTCTCCTCTTCCTCCTCTCACAAACAGACTGCAGCTCCGCCTGCCTCCAGGCAGATAAAGCAGAACATTCTACTGTGTGCAAGCTCATTGAGCAGCTACCTGGCTCTTGTCCTCTTCCTTGTTTCTGATTGTTGGCTGTGAACAAGAATGCTCACATAGATGTGTTTGCATTTAGAAGCATCATTAATAATAACGAGCAGGTGCTTGCTATTGCTCATAAAAATGTGTACTTGCTTACTGTATGGATGTTCCCGTTTTCTTGTATCATTAACTACCCTGTGTCCTGTCTCCTGCTTGTAAAAGCAGCCCGTGGCTGCTGTCTGAAGGCAGCTCATTGCTCCTCCGTTGTGCTACACTGCGGCTGTGATTTCTGCATTCATCTCACATATGCCAATGCTGTGGATTTTAATGCGATCTCCTGGACCTCAGCTGTCTTCACTCACTGTAGTGTGCAAGTTACAGCCCCGAGTTAAGGAGGAACTTTGGAAAGTCCATCCGAGCCATGAGCAACTCAGTTTCCCATTCATTATGAAATTCACTTGCTTCCTGGGAAGCTCAGATGCTGCTTTTCTCCCTGGCCATGGATGCACCCCCAGTTGCCCTTTCTCCTTTTCCCCGTTCAGTGTTGGTGTGCAGGAAGCCATGCTGGTGCCCAGCTGTAGGGAGCTCTGGGGGCAGCGTGGGGCAGAGCTCCCATGCTGGCATCTCCTAAGGAGAGATTAGCAAGCTTCCTCATCCTCTCCAGTGCTGAGCCTGCTGCCCCTTGCCTGCCTTTAGGATCCAGCTCCGTGTAGAAGAGATGATTTTCTCAGCTCATCTTTTAAAAAACCCTCATTCCTTCTTGTATGGGAGCTGTTGAGTCAGGGCCTGAACCACTGGTCCTGGGGAAAGGACCTGGTCAGCCCTGAGAGCACAGGTGGAGGCAGTTCACCACTGAGACAGGAAGGGATGGAGCCTGGCTGCACCTCTCCTAGATAGAGAGGTGATAGACTTTATTTAAGGGCTGACCCCCAGTGGGAAGGACCTCTTTCTGCTGATCCCTACTTGAAGCTTTCCTCTAGGAACCTTGAGTCTTTTGACATGGGTGAGCAATCTTCTTCCCTTCCTTTATATCACCTTTCTATCGTGCTGGTCCTTCCATCATCACACCTTTGTTGTAACACCTTTCCCGTTGTGTTGATCTGTCCAATTGCTATGCTTCCTCAGTGGGGCTTCTTCTAATTAGGCTACTTCAGCATTAAGGAAAGAAGAGCACTTTGGCTGCGTTTTTTGTGCTTTAACACTTCTCCTTACAGCTACAACACTCGGTCGTTTTGGAGCTGCTAGGTCGGACAAAATGGGTTTTTAACCCAAGGTGTCACTCTTGTTCTGAGCTGTCCTCTGTCTAAATACACCCGAGGAGGTATGTTTAGATGGGCTGTTTCAGTATTCACATTGAGTAGCTGGGTTTTGGTGGCCAGCAGCTGTATTCAGTCTCGTTCTGGGCAGTTTCTGTCACCTCCTCACCTCTGGGGACAGCCAGGGACTTGGTGTATTTTTGGGTGACATTGTTTGGCAGCTGAACAATAGCTGTTAATTTCTTATCTTGTAAAGAACCAAATCAGCTTGGGACTATAGGCTGCTCATTAGCAGCCTTCACAAAAAGCACTTGCTAAATGTTGTCCTAAACCTGCTGCAAAGCGGAGTCACAGGGCGCAATCTGGAGGCTGTCACCTCCTCTCCTTCCAGGTGACAAAGGAGGAGTGGACGTGTTACACCATAGCTGTTATCAGCTCCATTTGGCAGAGGAGATTGCTTTATTTTGTCCCTTTTTTTGCCCTTCAGCGTCCCTTTGCTAACAGACTTCAGCATTGCTTGTTCTCCTTTCTACCCTTGGGTTTTGGAGGTGGGTTGGGTTTGACCCACATTCTTTGCACAGCAGAGCAGGTTCCATCTGTGCTGGGTTCACAGATGCTGCTTTCACCAGCACTGTCTGACTGGACACTGTTGATATGAAATGAGAGTCCTGGAAGGGGAAGGAGAGCACCGTGGGGAGGTTGGGATTTGTTTGATGTTTTTAAACACCTTTGATTTTCCTTCAAAAAAACTTATTTGGCAGATGCAGCCAACTGCAGATCAAGTCAGTTCATCCTGTGCAGCAGTGGAACTGGGCTGAATTAAGGTTGTCTTTCTGCTGGATGAGTTTATTTTTCTATGGGCCAGGAGAACAGCGTGGCTTGGAATGGGCTGAGCCTCATGATTTCTGACCCCAGGGGCTTAAAAAAAAAAAGAAAAAAAGCAAAAAATCAGTTATCAGTAATGTCAGAAAATAATCACCTACTTCTCTTTTCTCTTACCAAGGAACTTGGAGCCTGTCACACAGCTGTATGTCAGCGTGGATGCCAGCACCAAGGAGAGCCTGAAGAGAATTGATAGACCCCTCTTCAAAGATTTCTGGCAGAGGTTCCTGGACAGCTTAAAGGCCTTGTCTGAAAAGGTACCTGGTTACGAATATTTTCTTTTTCCCATACTTTTGCATGTTACCTTCTCAGCCAGAAGTGGAATGGCTAAAGGTAGACTGCTGTGTGAGCCCCGGATATGCTGGGAGCACGTTACCTATCTTATGTACAAAATGTGTAAGAGTTCAGCAAGCTCAATCAGTTTCCTATGAGAGAAGAAATTTCATCGCTGGGAGAGCAGTATGTGTCAGATGGGACAGAAAACTTTGCTGTGAGTTTAAAAGGATGGCTGTGAAGTAAGCATAAGACACAAATGCAAGGTAGGACTCTAAACAGGACATGAGGAGGTTATAAGAGAGTGGTTCTCCTAATGAAGCTGATGCTGCTGAAGAAAGACTGGAGATTCAGAGACAGCTGGGAGGTCAGAAATCCATGTGTTCTGGTTCTCATAGATTCCCTTGAAATTGAGGTACATAAAGGAGGTGAAAATGTGTGTGCTGGAGATGAAGGGCTCTGGTTGCCCTCCTGCCACATACAGCTCAATGCCTCTGTTGTTTCTGGAAGACTCAGTCAAACCAATGGGTTTGAGCATAGTTGTGATGGTATCCCTTCACACTGCCAGCACTTTGGGTCTGTTCAAGAGCCAGCTGGTGCCCTGAAGGCACGGGCTCCCATCTGCTGCTGTTGGCTCGCAATTCCATCCACCATGTTGCTGGTTTTAATTGTAAGTAATGAATCACTCATGGTCCCAGCATCTTATGAGGTAGTAGAAATGCTTCATGAATGTGCCTTCCCTCTCCTGGTTACTGATACTGTGCTCTAATGGAACAAGCACTTCTCTTTGCTGTTTTGGCAGAAGTTTATGTGCTCCCTGCTGAAATGAACTGACAAGAGAGACTGTTTCAGCTGAATTAAATTTTCTACCTTCTGAGCTGACTGTGTTGGGCCATTTTCTGCCAAATAACGTTAGGAGACCCTGAAGACTCACTGTAACTGAGTGACACTTCTGCAAAGGCATGTAGGTTTATCAACATGTTTGTAGGTACCAGCTGATCTTGTTGAACCAAGGCTAAATTCTGAGCTGACTGAAATTAGGTATAAACCCAATTAAGCTCTCTCAGTGGAGGAGGCCACGGCTGAAATACCAAGAGCAAAAACATGGAAGACTTCTGGGAAGCTGATTTTGCACATCGCTTCTCTCCCACCTCTCTTGACCCTTAGTAGAGATGGTTTGTTCCTTGCTGTGTGTTGGCAGAGATTTCCTAGGGAAGAACTGAAGGTGAACGTATTGGCAAGTCAATCCATACAGCTAAAAATACTCTGGTCAAGGTGAAGAGGAGGTAAAAAGCAGCTCAACTACCAGGTGCATTTTCTCCTAAAAGCAACTGCTGTTGGAAGGGTCCTTGAAGCACTGGTAACACGAGAGCCAATTATTACTTGCTCCAGTGGACAGTATGCTGTGCTGCCGGCCCCAGCTCAGCTGCACGTTGCATCATCAAACAGAGGCAGCAGCAAGAAGCTGCTGTTTGTAAGTTTGTCCTTCAGTGTTGCTTGTAGCACACAGAAATCATCTCAAGCTGCTTTGAGGCAAAAGCAACTTCTGAAGTGCACTGCCCTGTGTTAACATGTGTGCTGTTGAGCACCGTTCTGTAGGGCTGTGATGGCTGGAGGGTGCTAAGAGTTGATGCCTTGACTGCTGTTCCCAAGAAGTACAGTTTCTGTTTCTGAGTGGATGGTGAAGTGCATCGTGTTGGGAAAGTGATGCTAATGCATCTGGAAGTGAAATACAAGCCCGATACTTTCATATAGCCTGAAAAAAAGAGAAAACCCCACACAAACAATAGGTTTGTTCAGGGTAATTCTTCCCGGACTGCTGGCATTGCAGCTGATCTAAGTCAGTGCTAATAAGAATCACAGGCTTGATCTGGGAGCATTTGAAAGAATAGCAATGGGCACAGCCCCAACAGAAGCCATGACTTGCTGTGCTGCTGTGGGGCTGTGCATGGTGCTGCAGGACCTGCACTCACAGATGGCAGTGAATTGTTCCAGTGTGCCCAGCACCATGCAGTGTGTTGGTGATGGCTGCTGCAGTGCACGGCACGTTCAGGAGGAAAAGAAGCAATGCTTCTGTGATTTTTTTCTTTCTGTAGCAAACAACAGGAAATACCATCCTTGTTCCCTGCTCTTTGGAGCAAGTATTTTTGCCTTTCTGGAGCAGTTTTTACTGAGATGGTCTCGTTGGCTTTTCTGTACTGAGAAATGTTTCCCAAGAGAGGAATCTGTTAAGCAGCAGGTAGACTCCCAGAAGGCTCTGTTTGTTTCTCATCGTGCTTCTTCTGCCCTCCAGGTGAAATTGAGAGGAAAAAGAAGGATGCTCTGCACGATTTAGAGCATGCTCTTTCCACACACTGTGTTTGAGAGTTTCAGAGTCGTCCTACGGCGGCTTTGAGTTCATCAGAACAAGAGTGAGGGGCTGTGGTGTGATGGACGAGCCGTTGATGAGGCACCAGGGATGTGAATACTTGTTCTGCAGACCAGAAAGCTGTATTTCGGTGCTGAAAAGCATTTCTTTGTAGTGCTGTATCCAAATGAGGAATAGGTGTTAATTGAGAGCAAGGGCTCAGAAGCTCAAGAGGGAGGAACTGTATTTCCCATGCTCCGGAGTTTTTGTATCAAGCTGATGTATTTTTTTTTTCCCCCAGAGGTGCCATTAACCAAATGTACTGCCTTAGGAAGAGAATAAGGAGCTGACATTGTGAGCTGTGATAAATGGACCATCAGCCTGCTTCTTTGTTTTTCTGACTTGGTGTTCCGTTTCCCTTGCTGTTACCAGAGCAGGTTGAGCAAGGCGTGGAAGCAGTGGTGTGTGTTGCCTATCAATCACAGATGTTGTCCCAAGCAGCAGGGCTGGTGATTGAGACAAATGCCCTGCTGCTGGTACACAGAGTGGAGATGCAGTGACCCCAGGTTGCAGAAGCACCTACAGATTTCGACACGAGCACGCTGAAAATAACTGGAGAAGAGATGGTGTTGGGCATACCAGAACGTGCCCTGTTTGTGACTCAGCATTACTCTGCAACACACTTCTGGTTTCCACCTGGCCGAGAAGTAAGGTGACTCCTGAAGGAAAACGTGGACCTTGGTGCTGGGCTCTGCTCCTATTGGCACCTGGCTGAGCACTCTTCCAACCTTGACATGGTGTGACCTGCTCTGTCTGTGTCTTCTTGACTTAATCGTGACAAATCCTGTCCTGTCCACTTGTACCTCAAGTACTTGCTGTGCTGCCAGACACCAAGTGGGCACTGCTGAGCTGCTTTAACTTTCAGAGGATGGGTGCCAATGTTCTCCGAACAAATCGGAGCCATGCACGAAGCAAAGGGGGAGGGGGAAAAAAAAACCCCTTCAGGTTAATAGATGTTATGGCACTGCAGGATGTGATGACGAAGCAGAACCTTATCCTTCCTGTCCTTCCAGGAGGGTCACAGAAGAACAAAAGAAATGGCTTATTGGCACTTTCTGGAGGTCAGGTACAGGCTTGTCTTTATACATCATAGCTGTTCTTGGCTTAGATCTTGGATAAAACAATGCCATCGCTTTTTTTTTTCTACTTTAGGAGAATTAAGATTTCATGGAAACACAGGGTCACAAGTAAGGTGTAGCAAAGCCCTTTCCCTGATAGAAAAGGACCATCAAAAGACAGTTTTGTAGCTCTACTTCTCCCTGCAGATCACACACCTGGCAGTGCATTGCCCTTCCATGGATTTTGGTGCCTGTGGCAGCGTGCTCCTTCCCCTGAGGTGTTACAGAAGGCACATCCAGAGACAGGCACAGAGTGTAAAATGGTGCTGTCTTCCAGTTCTGCACGTTGCTGACAAGTCGTTTGTTTTCCAGTTCTGGGTGATGACACCAAGTTGCATGTTAAAATGTTTCATGCTTGCATCTGGTGCTCTTTACTTTGGTGGTCTTTTCCAATACGATCCTTGCTTCAGAGCTGCCCTTGGCTTCTATATGATTACAAGCATAGCATAAATGCATCGAGTTACATCTTTAATGTTGCATGTTGTAGGGCTTGCTGTATAATACATGGTAGTCATGATTGCTTTATGAGAGGAGTACATCTGATTTGCCTGGAGATTATTTGTGGTTAGTGGGGAGGGGAGCTGGTTTGTAGAGCCCAGTCTGGTGTGTGAGCTGGGTGACTTTTTAAAGGAGAAATTAAATGAAAATCTGCAACAGATGTTAGAATCAGTAATCAATTTTACCACTATGAATTTAGAAGAATTTGACTCTTCTGCACAGTAAATGCTCTCCACCAGCTGTGTGCTCATTTTAATGGTTTTGCTAATGAGACTTCTGGTGTAAGCCTTTTCAAGTGAGCGTTACGAAGGTACAATGTTAATATTAAGTTATGGTGTCTGAAATACATCACCTCCTTTCAGCTTAGCTCAGAGCAAGCAGCAGTCTAAATGAGGCTTCGGCGAGATTCTTGGCATCATAGGGAGTGCAATCTTTCTTCTGCTGTCTGCTCCAGTATCTCTTAGTTTGCTTGCAGGCAAGAGGAGGGAAAAACGTTCATAAACACACTCCATCAAAATGATATGATTTTCCAAGTTGCTTTACTGTGTCTTATAAAGACAGCCTGGTTGAGAAGTCAAGGTGCCTCAAGGCTGGAGCACAATCTGTGCTGTCGCACTGCTGCAGGGCCCTGCGATGGAATCACGGAATTGTTGAGGTTGGGAAAGACCTCCAGGGTCACCTGGTCCCTGACCACGTCCCTCAGTGCCACGTCCCTCAGTGCCACATCTCCATGGTGTCTGAACACCTTCAGGGATGGCGACCCCACCAGTTTCCTGTGCAATCTGTCCTTTCTCCCCATCAGCCCCTCCTGCCTTGGCTGCTCCTTCCTTGCCAGGGAGGACAAGAGCTTCAGAGTGCCTGCAGCTCACCTCTTCTGCTGCTAACCCTCTCATTTAGGTGCATTCACACTTCCTAGATCTTTTGCCTTGAGACTCCTCCTAGAGATTGCAGGAGAGCTGGA